CCCAATCAGCCCAACACGCAACACGCGTGCCCCGTCCCGATAAGCGGCACGCAAGAGGGACGGCAGTGCGTGGATGGGGCGCACGAGGATGATTCCCCGCGCATCACCCTGTGTCTCTCCAGATCCGACCCGGAGTGAGCGATTTTTTGCCTCGCAGAGATCACCCGGTGGCGGTGCGGCGAAATGTCGTTTCCGGGTTACCGGGTGGCGATATTTGATAGATCACCCGGCAGTGGTTCGCGCCGGCTGTGGCTAGTTCCATTTCACTGTGGCACAGCTCGCGTTACAAAACCTTGATTTGACCATTTGCGCAAAAAGGTACATCTCGGTGCCTTCCAGAGGCAGCTGCGAACCCGCCGAGTGGACGGCGGCACACAGCAGGTGGCGCTGTGTGCCGCCGTCTACTCGGCGGGGTCGCAGCTGCCTCTGTGCGTCCTGGGTATGTACCTTTGTTGCGCGCCGGAGACGACTCGACGTCGCTGAGATCGGAGATCAAGCTCTGACAGGTCGCACGTCGCTCCTTTGACGCCGACGTGACTCACCCGTGCAGATCACATCAGGACACGGTCTCGACACGCTCGGTACGACGCCTGCGACCCGTCTTGGGTCAGGTGGCACGACGCTCATCGCGCCTACCAGCGCTGCGGTACAGGTTGCCACGACGAGGTCGAGCACGCTTCTATACGCTCGCCGAGCCTTCCTTTCCATCCCATTAGGCAGCCTGGGAACGGTGGCGGTCAGAGGCAAAGCCTGCGAGGGGTGGTGGAACCACATGTCACGGCTACTGCCGGCTCGACCCCGCGATAGCCTCCGAAGGCTGACTTTGAGGCACAATCATCGGACGACGTCGGCGAGTTGAGTCGCGCTCGCGGTAGCCAGATGACCTCTCATACTAGTATCATCGGCCATGGCCGCAGGAAGCGCGGGGGATTCCGCTGGGAGCAACACGGAGCTCCGTTGGACGCGTTTTCAAGATTAGCGTGTCAGAGTGAAATGGAACTAGCCTATACGCCCCGGTCACGGGTCATCCGACGTAACTTGACGGGTACAAACGGGTACAACTGTAACGTGTAAGCTAGTTAGAGCCGTACGTCCATTCGCATTGCGGGCTGCTGGCTGGCGCTCGCCGCAATGTCCCTTTGCGGTCCGTCACAACTCACATTTTAATCGCCCCGGACCCGGTGCGTCGACGTGCTGCGCCACGCCGCGCGTACGAGTGGGCAGCTTTTCCGTGAGGTGCATACGCAGCGGAAAAGGCCTTGCTGGCCGCTCACGCAGCTCAGGCGCAAAGCCGCTCCCTTGCGCTCCCCGGCCCCGACCGCCGGCTAAAGGCGCCATCAGCACACGTGGGCGAGAGTCAACTGCAGTGTTTGCATCATATGGGTGCGACCCTGCCTCGCCGCACGTGACACCGACCGCGCCACTCCTCGCTTGAGGAGCGGCTAGCTCCAGCCCCCCCCCCCCCACCCCGCTGTTCTCACCCCCCCTTCTCACTCCCGCAGACCACGCCTCGATCTTCTTGGGCAGTAGCTGGTTCTGCTGATTGCCGTGGCCCAACTGGCCACAGACTCCATAGCCCCAGCTCCAGACAGCGCCGTCGGCGGTGAGGGCGATGCTGTGGAACGCTCCCGCTGACACAGCCACGACGCGCTTGTCAGCAAAGGCCTCGATCTTCTTGGGCAGCAGCTGCCCCCACCGATTGCCGTGGCCCAACCGGCCATCGTTTCCATCGCCCCAGCTGCAGACGCCGCCGTCGGCGGTGAGAGCGAGGTTGTGCATGCCTCCAGCAGACACAGCGACGACGCGCTTCCCCGCCAAGGCCTCGATCTTCTTGGGCTGCCACTGGGTCTCCTCGTCGCCGTGTCCCAGCTCGCCCTGCCCGCCGCAGCCCCAGGACCAAACGGCGCCGTCCGCGGAGAGAGCGAGGCTGAAAAGTCCTGACGCCGCCACACCAATCGCGCGCTCATCTCCGAGGAGTGTTGGGAGACGGGTCGGCGTCTTCAGCTGCTTCACGCCCTCGCCGTGGCCGAGAAGGCCTGGAAACTCCTCCTCGTCCTCCCCCCCCTCCTCCTCCTCCTCCTCGCCCTCCGTTGCCGCTGACCCGCACGACGAGAGCCGCCCCTTGCCGTCGATGAAGACGCTGTGCTGTCCGCCTGCCGCCGCCCTCGCCGGCGGGTTGGACTCGCACAGCAGCGCAGCGAAGCACAGCCAGCGCACGGCGCAGCTCTCGCCCTCTGGCTGCGCCGGCAGCTCGAAGCCGCGCTCTTGCGCCCACAAGCGGATGCCCTCCACCACAAGCGAGGCGTGGAAGAGCAGCGAGACGGCCGCGACGCGAGCGATGTCGGCGGGGCGTTCGAAGCTGGAGAGGACGCGCGCGAGAAGCTCCGTGGGGAGGTCGAGGAGGCGGGTGGGCGGCGGCGTGCTGGGTGAGGGAGCGGCGGTGGCGGCGGGGGCGAGGCGGCGCGAGCGACGCGGTGGGGTGGACATATACACAGTGTGCATTAGGTGTGTATCGCGAAAAAAGAATTCTCGCAGGACACTGGGCACGGGACTGGCGCGAAAAAAGAAAAATCACACCGCAAGAAGCCCCGCTGTCGGTCGGGCTGCCTGCGCGCTTGAACCTCGATCGTCGGTCTCGGCTCAGCGGCCCCTTGGAGTGTGAAGCTGAAGGCTTCGTAGCCCTCCGGTGAAGACCCGCAGGGCTGGAGCGACAAAAAAGCGAGTGGCCTCGGCTCTCCCGGCTCGCCGCTCTCGCCAAACTCCGCACTCGAGCGCCGGCGCGGAGGACCGGCGGAGCGCCGCCCCGCCGGCCTGCGCGCTGCGGCCTCTTGCACCGCCTCCTTCCGCCCGTGTGGCACAGACGCGCGGTGAGCCTTCTCGACGGCGGAAGCTGTGTCTTCTTGATTTTTATCTATGTATACGTAGGCAGCGCGTCACTCGCCATAGCAAGCGGGTCGTAGCCTCGCCGGCCTCTCAGAGAAACTCAGCGGCAACGGGTGGCGCCGCTCGCCGCCTCCTCAAGATCAGCCCCTCTGCACGGCATCCACACACACTTCCCCGCAGCTGCGTCAATAGACCGTCTACTTCTTCTTCGGAACCTGAAGGGGGGTGGGGTGGGGGGGGGGGGTCGAGGGGCGAAGGGGCGAGGGCGGGGCAGTGGCGGGCACGCACCACGAGCATCAGCTTCTGCATCGTTTTGAGCTGCGGGGGGGGCGGCGAGTCGGCAGTCACGGCGCGGGAGAGGGGACGTGCGGTAGGCGAGAGTCCCGCCCGCAGGCGGGAGAGCGGCACCGCCCAGGGGGCGGGCGGGGCGCAGGGACGCGTGCCTGTGACTCGTCGGCCTGGAGAGTCCGGCGCAGCTTCTGCTTGCGGAGGGGGTGCTTCTTGGTGAGGATGTGCGACTTGAAGGCCGAGTGCCGCAGCAGTTTGCCCGTCGCGGTCACCTTGAAGCGCTTCGCGACGGCGCTCGAGGACTTGCCCTTGCGCTTGGCCGCCTTGGCCTTCTTCATGACCGAGCTCATCGCAGGCGAGGACGCCAGCGACGGGGCGCCGGCCGCTGGCACGAGCACACGCACGGGCGCCACGCCCGTCGGCACGAAGGCCGACGCGCCCGCCAACAGGCAGGCGAAGAGAAGGCTTCTGGGCAACATCTCGCTCCTGAGAAGAAGAATTTTACCTGGCCAGGGGCCCCTCCACTCGCCTGCACCTGCTCGAACCCTGAGCACTGTGCAGCGTTGCACGCGTTGCATGAATGCACGTTGAGTTGTACGAAGGTGGTAGTAATTATTGTCTTGAGTATTGCGCGTCTCTCGACCGAGAGCGCTAGCCTCTACCCCTTCGGTCCGAAAGAAGAATTTTACGCACATTTCTTTCGGGCTACGAACATGTCGTCTGTTGTGTCGTTGTGCCCTTCTTTGTTCTCTTGGCACCTTGGAGTGCTGGGGGGGGCGACAGGGAGTATGTGGCCTTGATTGAGTTATGTGTAAGCCGACTCAGGGTGTGTGGCAGCCAGCTGGCTGTGTGTCTTGTGAGCCTGTTTGTGTCTGTGTGTCGCTCGAGCGTGTCGTCATCATCTGTCCAGCGTCCACCCATACCGCGTTGGTGTCCAGTCCGAGCCTGGCTGTTCTTCACCTTTCTACCTACCTACCTAACATGTGTGGTGGCGGCGTGCCGTCCTCCCATCCCTCCCTTGGGTTGTCTGTTTTCTTTCTTTCTTTCGGGCTACGAACAATGTCTTCACACCAGCAATGGTCCGGTCGAGTGGCTATCTCTCGAGGTTCTCGAGGTTGATATCCTTTGGCCGCGTTGGGTAGCGAGGATTGGTGTAACCCGATCCACGCAGGCGTGGTTTCTGACGGCCGACCGTCAGTGCACGGAGTTGCCCCTCCCTTCTCCGACTGCCCCG